ATGGAACCAGCCAAAAAGAAGTGTGCTGCTGCCAATAAAGATAAAAGGAGTTGGAGATTTGAAAAGCATTTTGATATCAGACATGAAGTTCTAGAGTTTGGAGTTTGTCTAGTTGGTTTTCTATCTTTCTTTGGTCCAGTATTTCCTCACTATGCTCCCTCTCCTCCATTTTGAAACAGTCATGTATATCCTGTGCCACTATATGTTTGAAGTATGTGATTTGCTTTTTTACTTTGATTTTACAGGGAATTACAATTAAGAGATTGCATGAGTCTCAGAAGAGACTTTGAACTTTGAAATTTTAAACAAGTTTAGAACTTTTATAGACTACTGGGACTTCTGAAGTTAGACTGAATGCACTTCTGCATTATGTTATGGCTATAGGCCTATTGGGGCCAGGGGGTAGAATGTGGTAGTTTGAATAGATATGGCCTCCATAGACTCATGTCTTTGAATGCTTGGCCATAGGGAGTGGCAGGTGCCATTAGGAGGTATAGCTTTGTTGAAGTAGGCATGGCTTTGTTAGAGGAAGTGTATCACTGTAGATGTGGACTTTGGGGTTATATATGCTCAGGCTAGACTCAATGAGACACATGGTCCCCTTTTGCTGCCTGCAGATAAAGATATAGAACTCTTAGCTTCTTCACCAGCACCATGTCTACCTGCATACTACCATCCTTCTCACCATGATGATAATGGACTAAACCTCTGAAACCAGATCCAATTAAATGTTTTCTTTCATAAGAGGTCCTGTGGTCATGGTGTCTCTTCACAGCAATATAACCCTAACTAAGACAGGTGGCTTGCACATCTGACTGCAGAATCTGCACTATCTTGTAGCATAAAAACTACATCCTAACAGTTTGGTAACTGTCCATTAGTCATGGGCACTATGAACAGAGGGACACCTCCAGAAACAAAGTGTCAACAGGTGAGGTGCATGGTCTTTGCTGAATGCTGGTGAGGCCCTGTGGCTGTGACACAATACTCTAATTGTCATGGTGGATTTTATGTGTTCACAGTAATGGCTGCACACACTGTACCATTGGACGAATGGGGCCAATTCCTAGCTCTATAGAAAGCAGTTATGACCAATTGGCCACAAATGTCATGAAAGATTGAGCATGAATGGAAGATGTCATTCTTATTTGACAAAGACCTCTGACATCAGGTGACTTGTTTGACTTAGATTTCCCACAGTGCTATGGAAGAAATCACAAGGCTCTGGCAAGATTTTTCCACTAGCCATGAGGATAACCTTGCACCAGAGGTGTTAGGAAAGGGGGGTGTGATAAGGTTCCACTGTTTACACAGAACAGCATAGGGTCTATGATCAACTGCAGCTACCAGTCTCTGATCTGTTTATGCGCCATACAGTTGAATGAGTTGCTGTGCTCTGATGGGAATGCTGGAGGTGCCTCATGGCTTCTTCACCAGCCTTGTGCAATAGTTCTACAGTCACTGTGCCCAAACCCAGATACAACTTGAATTGGTGAGTGTTCAGCTCCCTCCTCAAGCAAGGTTTGAAGGCCCATGACCTTTTTAGCACTGGCTCTATTCCCTCTTCTCCAAGAGTCAAAGATGAGGGGATGCAGGTCAGGTGAGGCTAACACACACAGAGGATCCACATTCTCAGAGTCTGGAGATCATTTATATCTAATTCTTGTGGGTATGCACAAGCTCCTCACTGTTCCATGCAGGATGAGGAGAAGTTATCATGTTGCCAGGGTCCCTTTCTCCTCTTAGACTCTAAGCATCTATTGGTGTATCTCGTGGGTGCTCATTCGAAAGACTCCCTGTATCTTCCTGGAAGCTGTGTGGATGTATCCTAGGACTATCCCAAGTGTCTCTTCCTTGCCAGCACCCATTGGGTCCCCAAACAAACTAGGAGTTAAGGAAAGACTCTACCCAGTTGCATCCCTCAAGGTGGCCAGCCAACCACACTCTGGAATTCCCAGGTATAAGCCAGCATTAGACCTTGAAATGGTACTGGAGGCGTACAGAAACAGATTCAGGAAGTGTTTGGGGCAAGAGACTCCTTGTCCCACTCCACTCCTTTGAACTCACTGGATCAAAATCTGCAGACTAAGCCTGTAATTTCTCCACACAGGATTCCCAAATAAAACAAGGAGCAACAGCCAAATGTGAATGTCAGATAATACATTTTTAATATTCGAATGCCCCAGCCATTGTATGGGATATACATAAATTTTAAAAGTCATTTTAAAGGGTATCTCACACCTGTAATTCCAGCACTCAGAAGGATAAGACAGGATTGCTGGGAATTCAAGGTGAAGCTGGGCTATTTGATGAGTTCAAGCAAGTCTAGGTCAGAGAGGAAAATGTTGTATCAAAAAAAAAACCGAAACAACAACGCTTCACTAATTTTTGCCCTTCTCTATGCCTTTCACAACAATGCCCAGGCTGCACTTTGGAAGTCAGACGATCACTGGCTAGGACTTTGGTGACATCTCTTAGAGGATGCCTGTGGAGCATCAGCCAGACAGCCATCCTCAAGTGACATGTGATGGTTTGAATATACTTGGCCCAGGGAGTGTACTATTAAGAAGTATGGCCTTGTTGGAGTAGGCATGGCCTTGTGGGAGGAAGTATGTCACTGTGTGGGTGGCCTTGAGACCCTTCTAGCTGCTTGGATGTCAGGCTTTGGAACAAGATGTAGAACTCTCAGCTTCCCCAGTGCCATGCCTGTCTGGATGCTGCCATGCTTCTCGTCATGATAATAACGGACTGAATCTCTCAACCCATAAGCCAGCCCCAATTAAATGTTGTCCTTTATAAGAGTTTCTTAGGTCTCTTCACAGCAATGGAAAGCCTAACTAAGACACAGGTCTTATTCTGTAACTTCTTTTGTGTTTCTGCAAGTTCTTTCAGGCCCTAAAATTGCTCTCTCTACTTTGTTCCTAATGCTCACCCAATTCTAGGGAGGAGAGGGTAGCAGCTCACTATTGTCTCTGGCAGGCTTCTTGCCTTATATATGAAGAGACACCATGACCAAGGCAACTTACAAAAGAAAGCATATAATTGGGGACTTGCTAACAGTTTCAGAGGGTTAATCCATGACCCTTATGGCAGGATTGTGGGGGCAGGCAGGCAGGGATAGTGCTAGAGCAAAGGCTCAGAACTTACATCCTGATTCTACAGTAGCAGGCAGAGAGAGAAAGACTGGACTTCTTTTAAAATCTCAAAGCCCACTCTAAGTAACACACTTCTTCCAGTAAGGCCACACCTACTCTAACAAGGCCATCCTTTTTAATCCTTCTCAATCAGTTCCACCACCTGGGAACTAAACTCTTAAATATATGAGCCCATGATGGCCATGCTCATCAAACCACCACATTTTAAAACTTTTTCTGTGATACCTTTTCATCTAAGTATATAAAACATATATAAATCAAACCTTTATAAATACAAATAATTTGTTTATAACAGTTCTTTGGGATACACATGATTTTATCATTTACTAAAGGTGGAAGCAAAATTGTATACTAGAGAGGTGGATAAGCTTACCTAGTTTCATATAAAGAATGAAGTCTTATCAGATGTGGTGGTACCTGTGCTTTAGGAGGGGGCAGAGGCAGATGAATATCTGTGATTTTGAGTCTAGTCTGGTCTACACAATGAGTTTTGGGACAGCCAGGATACGGAGCAAGACTCTGTCTCAAAAAAAAAAAATCTTGGCTGACCATTTGACAGTTTTCAAAGTTGATCAATATTTTGATTTTATAACACTCATTGCTGAGAATGCAATTTCACATAAACATAGTCCAAAATGGAAGATGGATAGGTCTTTTCAGAGATTGTTCTAATCCCAAGCCAAAATTCACTGAACAATTTGTGAAACCCAATATCTTGACCAGTGATTTTCAAAAATCAAATGCTTTAGCCCCATAAAATCCAAATTTGATATCTAACTTTGGTACTTACAATCAGAGGAACAATGGGAGGGAAATACTAAAGGTCTCCATTTCCCACCATGAAACTTTCTGTAAGAGAAAAAAACCTCTATGTGTAGTAAACACAGCACAGTGAGCATACATGCAGTAAACACACCATGGTGAACACATATGTAGTAGTCTTGAATCTGAGTTTGAGACAATGTTTATTGACAACGTGGAACATGGCACACACAACGCAGAGCATACATGTGGTATGTTCAAAACCACAGACGTGATCAAGTCACCAGAGCACACGGTGAGTTCTGCCAGAAACACCTCTGATCACTACTCTTACCTCCATTCACTGTTGCTCAAGTTTCTATAACCCCCACATTCAGCTATGTGACCCCCATACGGGGTCATGACAAGAAGCTGTGCTCTATCGAGAGCATACTGTATGGAACTGTGTAAGCTCAGCCTGCATGGCTGGCTCCCATGGCTCTGCTCCTAGCCTCTGCTTTTCCACCCACTGGTACATGAAGAGCTGATAGAGATTTCCTATGTTGTGGTCATAGGTGATATGTATATCAGGGTTCTCCCAAGGAACATAACTGATAGAATATCTACATATATATTGGATTGACTTACATATTGTGGGCTGGATATTTCAACAGTGGCTGTCTGCATGCAAGAGGGGCTGAAAATCTGGTAGCTATTTATTCTACAAGAATGGCTGTCTCAGTAATGCTCATCTAGTGCTCAGTCAGGCAGCCAATTTGGAAGCCTCACCTGACTTTCACGAGTATGCCCCCAATGTGGTAGGCTCCCCCCAAAGGGAAGCTGATGAAACTTAAGGATTAGTTATAAAGTGACCAAAACCCAAGTGTCCACAGAGGTCTGGGTGATCGGGATAAAGGTTAGACCAGCTGTACCAGAAATTCCAAGGAGAAAGTATTCATGGATGAAGTCCTGAGTGAGCCACCACAGAGAGAAAGTAACTCAAGATGAGCCTTCATGACTTCATGTGATTTCTCAACACAGCCATTATGACATCAGTTGCCTGGCTAGCTTAGGGAGCCTGAGCCTCCAGCTGGTGCCATTTTCTCAGCCTGGCCTCCTACCCTCCAACACACAGCACAGCCAGGGCCATGATCCTGCCCTCCATTCTGCTGCTTGTTGTCCACACCCTGGAAGCAAATGTTGGTACGTGGACTCCTCTCCCTCTGGCCAGAGCTGCTGACCCAAGCAGGGCCAGCCAGGATACCCGCTCTCCTCGCCTCCCTTCATCCTATCGATATGTGGTGAGCATTAAGGACAAAGGAGACCGTAGCTATGACTGACCCGTGAGTTAGCTAACAGCCACCAGGAGAAGATCACTTCCAAGAGCACAGATCACTTACCCATCGTTCTTAGGAGCGACCTGTCTAATCTTGGTGTTCTGACTTGGAAAAACTAAACTTCTACCTTATCAATAGCAATGAAAAGAGACATGCCCAGAGTATGGGCCAGGAACTAGCCAAGTGAATCAATATTTTTTTTCCTGTTTCCTTGATAAAGTACTCTGACAAAAGTAACTTAAGGGAGAAAAGATTTATTATGGTTCACAGTTCAAGCTTACAGCCAGCCCATCATGGGTGGAAGTCCAAGGGCTAGGAGCTTGGAGTTGTTGGTCATATCACATCCACAGTCAGAAATCACAGACTGGTGAGCCCAGGCTGCTGCCTGGCCCCCATCTTCCTCTTTTACAATCTAGCTTTAGTTTACAGCTTCAAGGAAAATTAGCCCAAAGCCCATCCCCAGGAACACAGCATGTCCAGACTTGTACCAGTCTGAGAAACATAGGTTTCCTTCCTGTGTTCTTCATGCTGCCTCTAAGCAGGGCCAGCCTGTCTCCCCAGCCTTCAGTGTGAGTCCAGCCTTCAGTGTGACCTGAGGCCACTCCATAGAATAGGGTACTGTGACACCATTGGCAGAACTGGTTCCTCTGGAGTCCAATGGGAAGAGGCGCCAAGCTGCTCAAATGACTCCTCACCGTGGAGCCTTGCCTCCAGGCTTTGTTCTCTAGCTGCTGCCACACAGCCATTGTGGGATGTCCTCAGGATTAAGGATATGGACAGTGGAATTTGCCTGCCAGTCCTACGGGGACTTTGGTACAAAATGGATCTGAGAAATCCTGGAGCAACTGGGGCTTGAGTTTGCTCCGTACCAAATACTTTGAGGGGCAGTTCAAGTCTCATCACATTTGATCCACATGCTAGCCTAAAGGGGGGGGGGGCAGAGTGCTTTGTGCCCATCTGAGGGATGAAATGACAGGAGATACGCAAGGAAAATAGTGTTTCCTCCAGTCATTGGCTAATGCCATCTCAATTCAGGATTCAGCCTCTGCTGTCTGCCCAGGACCTATGCCCCAGCATGTTCTGCAGCTGCATCAGAGAGTGGGGCCCAGCCAGTCAAGCCTATCTCTGTGATTATCTTAATATATTTGCTCCCACACTTGTACATATATATTTTTAACAAGATAAATCATATAAGTCTCAAATATGATATTTTAGTTAGTATATTTTAATTTAGTATATGTATTGAGTGTGTGTTAAGTGTGTGTGTGTCTGTGTGTGTGTGCTTCACAGCACACATGTGGAGGTCAGAGAGCAGCTTGTGGGAGTCGGTGGACCCCTCGTACCATTTAGTTCCCTTGGAATGTGACTCAGTTAGGATTGGCAGCCACGGCTTTACTCAATGAGCCATCTCACCAGCCCCTCAAATCTAGTGCTTTGTTTTGTTTTGTTTTGTTTTGTGAGACAGGGTTTCTCTGTGTACACTTGTCTGTCCTGGAACTCACTCTGCAGACCAGGCTGACCTCAAACTCAGAGATTTGCCTGCCACCGCCTCCCAAGTTCAAATCTGATTTTTATCCTGATCTTTCCATTCAAGCTCATATCGCCAGGACCTCACCCGCATCCTTGGAAACTCCCAGCGAGCCTCATTTTCATGGCTGAGAAATAGTTCAGAGCACAGCGGCCATGACACCAGCTTTTCTTCTGTCTGCTTCCAATATGCAGACTTTCCCCTTTAAGATGGTCCTAGTATAGAATCCGCCAGCCAGCCAATTGAGTCTCCAGGTTGCTGAGTTCCTTTCTAGGATAGGCACAGTCCCATCCTTAGGACACAGCATCACCAAGACAAGCGTGATGTTTTCTCCCAGAGCTGGCATTCCAAGGTCAGCAGCAGATCAGACAGAAGCACTCTGACACTAGCTGATGCCACCTTAACGCAATGGAGACATCTGCATAGACAATGAGGAATGGCCAGGGCTGAGACCAGGTTGGAGGAGGAGGCTTTACTTGAAGAAGTGATTCATAGGGGGAAGCTGAGAGAGAGAGAGAGGAGAGAGAGAGAGAGAGAGAGAGAGAGAGAGAGAGAGAGAGAGAGGAGAGAGAGAGAGAGAGAGAGAGAGAGAGAGAGAGAGAGAGGAGAGAGAGACAGAGACAGAGACAGAGAGACAGAGAGAGAGGAGAGAGGAGAGAGAACAGGTAGTCTAAAATATTCCAGGCACAGAGAGAGTACTAAAGAGCTTTAGGTTCTGGTCAGGTCCCTGACCAGGCTGTATGACCTGTGTCTGGGGTAGCATTGCTTTAGTGTGACCATGGAAACTAAGGTGAGTTCATGTTTCTACGGTACCTGTAACAGTGCCGGACACAAGGTGAGCACCATGAGTGTGTCCAGTGAACAAAAAAAAGTTTCAAGGCCAAAGGCCCCAAAGAAAATATTTGTTATGACAATTTAAGGTTTGTGACATATATTGCTAAATCTTGACTTTTTACCACAGAGCAGCAGCTGCAGTCTTTGTCCCCAGATGCCCAGTGACATAATCATTCTACATGGACTAGACAACAATAATAAAGGCTTCTGGTGGGTTCTGGCGTTTTCCATGGACCCTCAGGGGTCTTGTTACCCAGAGCTTCTGACATCTGCACAGCCCGAAGTGGTTTAAGTCACAACAATTTTTTTCTCACTGGTCTGTAGAGTAGAAGTGCAGGATGGGGATCCCAGAGTGAAGGCAAGGGTGGACAGGAAGAACCACGCCCTGTGTGCACACTGGAGAACTGGTACTGTCCCTTCTCTGGCACTGAGAGGCTTGTCTGGGTCTTTGCTTCGTTCCTTGGATTCAGCACTGATGCATCTCTCTGCCTTGAATGAACTCACCACTGCCTCTGAGTTTTTTATTTCTCTCCCTCCGTGTGTGTGTGTGTGTGTGTGTGTGTGTGTGTGTGTGTGTGTTTGGGGCATATATGTATGTACATGTGTGTAAAGGTCAAAGGACAAATCCAGGTGGCGTTCTTCAGACACAGTCCACCTTGTCTTCTGTGACAGGGTATTATTATTGGGCTGTAATTTACCAAATGAGTAAGGCTCAATAGCTAGTGAACCAACAGGGCTATACCTATCATTGCTTCCCAAGCATTGACATCACAATGACGCTACCACACCTGGATTTTTGTTTACATGGATTCTGGGAGCTCCAACTCAGGTCTACGTGCTTGCATGATGAGAGCTTTGCCAACTGAGCCATCTCCCCAGCCCTGTCTCAATTTTCTTCAGGGCCTTTATGATGATAAGAAGCCCATGCCAGCCACCAGCTATTTGGTGGTCAGAAGATTAATTTCATGCCCCAGATCTCTGTTGGTTTATAAGGAAAGATATTTTCCAGACCTATGACACAATTACTAGACCTGGTGTGTACCCTGGTGGTCATGCTCTGCCCAGCCATGCAGATGGTCCCGAGCATGATGAAGACAGAGTCAACACCTTCACCTAACATCCAGAGCCATGAGCTCCTTCTTATCATAACAAGCAAGTCTTGGCCTCAGAACATCCCCAAGGATGTGTTCTCCCAAGCTAGACCTAGCTTCATCTGCCAGAGGTTGACTGACAGTCTGTTTTTTTCCCTGTGGTTTTCCATTTCTGCAGACTGTGGTGTGAGACCCCTGTATGATAGCACAACTAAATACTCCAGGATCATAGGAGGGCAGGAGGCTGAGGTGGGTGAGTTTCCATGGCAAGTGAGCATTCAGGAAAGTAACCATCATTTCTGTGGCGGCTCCATTCTCAGTGAGTGGTGGATACTCACCGTGGCCCACTGCTTTTATTCTCAGGAGTTTTCGTAAGTATTGAGGGACCAGGTTCTCCAGGGGTGGCATGTACTCACCTACACTGGGCTGTGAGAGGGACCCTGGTGCAATTGCTCCCTAGATAGACAGGAATGGCTCTCCTCCTCCTCTCCAGTCAGGAGACTCAGATGCAACTGATAGAGCCAGGGGGCTTTGCCCCTTGTGTCTCCTAAGACATTAAAGTGCACCTAGGAGGAAAGTCTACTTCTTCACATCTGGCTTCCTTGGCTGTCTGTCACCCTTGGTGACACCCTTGGATTTCTTGGTGGCTTGTGGAGATTTCTTTGTCCTAGGCCATCAGTGGGCACTTAGCATTGGCTGACAATTATCTATATGCCAAGGTCTTTCTTAGGACTTTTCTTATATACTAATCCATTTGCTTCTACAAGGACCTTTGGAAGGAGGGAAAAGAAATTATTTTGTAAATAGGGAAAGTGAGGTCTGATGAATGTATATAGTTTGCCCAAGTCCATGTCCAATAGACAAAAGCAGGAAAGAAAATCTGACTTTTAGCTATACTTCCTTCAGAACATTCAGAAAACTGCAGGAAGGGAGGCATAGTCTATAATCCCAGCTACTCAAAACCTGAAGTAAAAGGAATACACATTTGAGGCCAGCTTGGGTAACTGAGGCCTTGTCTCATAATAATAAAATAAAATATGAAATTCAGTGTAGTGTGGCACAATGGTACAGTGTTTGCCCAACATGTTTAATGTCATGGGTTCTGCCTGAAGACTCACCATCAGGGGAGGGATTCATCCTGGCAAAACCAAGACCACTGTAGCCCCTGCTCTTTCAGGACTTAGGACCTGATTAAGATAATTAAGAAACTCATGGACATCTTTCCTAACTGATGCTTTTTTTTCTGGAAGTTCTATGTGGCTGGTGGAAGTTCCAGATGAAACTCTGGTCCTCATTTTTAAATGATTGGTAGATCTAAGGACAGCAACAGTGACTGCTGGTGTACGTGACACCGCCTTCTCTCTATGACAGCTGGTTTGATCTGCCAAGGGGTCCTTTGGGAGTGTTTGGTTAAGGTTACTATTGGCGTGTACACAATACACAACCAAAAGCGACTTGTGAGGGGAGGGGGGCTTATTCAGCTTACGCTTCCACATCAGTCCATCACTGAAGGAAGCCAGGACAGGAACTCAAACAGGGGGGAAATCTGGCAGCAGGAGCTGATGCAGACCCCATGGAGAAGTGCTGCTTACGGGCTTGGTACTCATGGCTTGCTCAGCCTGCTTTTTCATATAACACAGGACCACCACCCACAATGGGTTCAGCCCTTCCCCATCAATCCCTAATTAAGAAACTGCCCCATTGGCCAGGCGGTGGTGGCGCAAGCCTTTAATCCCAGCACTTGGGAGGCAGAGGCAGATGGATTTCTGAGTTCGAGGCCAGCCTAGTCTACAGAGTGAGTTCCAGTACAGCCAGGGCTACACAGAGAATCCCTTTCTTGAAAAAAACAAAAAAAAAAAAACAAAACCAAAAACAAACAAATAAAAAGAAACTGCCCCATAGCCTTGCCTACCACCATATGGAGGCATGTTCTTAATTGAGGTTCCCTCCTCTCAGGTGACTTTAGCTTGTGTCAAGTTTTCAGAAAACTAGCCAGCACAGGAATGCTCTTCAGAGAGCCCAAAATGGAACTCTGCTTCTTGTCTGTTCAACACGAGTATCATATTCAGTCCTGGAAAGCCTAAGGACACGGGTCTACTCCATGTTTACTTCTCAGTTAGGGTCTGAATGTGACATGGTAACCACAGGTACGTGTGTTTCAGCTCTTGGCCCCTGGGTTGTAGTGCTGTGTTGGAAGGTTGTGGAAGGTTCATAGGTTGGATCTAAATGGAAGAAGTAGGTGATGGACCTTGATAAAATCAGTCTACTTCTGGCCACAGTATCAGTCTGCTCACATTTCATACAAAGACAGGTAGACTCGTCCTCCCATGCTGTGCCTTCTCTGCCATAAGGTACTACTACATCTTAAACTCAGCCCAAATAAGCTTCTCCTCACATAGTTCCTAGCCAAACATTTGCTCACAACAAGACAAGTAGATAGCATGGTTCTTTCTGCATTCTTCAAGCCTTTAAACCTGAGAAACTGCCCCAGTGGGACTAGTCTTACAGGCTTCTAGAACGACCTTTTTTCCAGTCCCATTGGTTTCTGCTCACTCGGGTTTACTTTCCTCCTCCTCTCCATCTGGTTCTGTGCCACCAGCCCAACAGAACTCAAAGTCAAAGTGGGAACCAATGACTTAACTACTTCACACATGGAACTGGAGATCACCAGCATAATCCGGCACAAAAACTTTAAACGACACACCATGGACAATGACATCGCCTTGTTGCTGTTGGCAGAGCCCTTATTGTTCAATGAGCTGACCGTGCCCATCTGCATGCCCCCCGAGCCTGCCCCTCCCAGCTGGCACGAATGCTGGGTGGCAGGGTGGGGCACAACCAACTCAGGTATGTTACTGTCCAGGCCCTCAGGGAAACTGCTGGGGCAAGAGCTACAGGAGCTGGGAGAGTTCTGAGGAACGGCAAGACAAGAGTGAAAGTGGTAGAATGGCTTTCAGTGGAGGAAATCTTCATACACTAGGCTGTTGGGTGCCTTAGCTCAGCCTCTTCTGGGTGCCAGAGAGATGCTGTACCTGAGATGCTAACTCTGAACCAGTCTCTGGGTGTGGTCAACCAAGCACAGAGTGGGTTGCATTTTTTTGTGTTTAATGGAATTTCAACCACCAAGTTGTCCAAAGTCCCCTCTGTTCTACTCTTTGTTCTTACCTAGTAATGTCTCCTACCTGGTTCCTACAGGCTTTCATAATGCTCATTCCTGGGCTGTGCTTCTGAAGGTACTGGAGTGTTGCTCGACTACTCTTAGAAATGACTGTTATCACTTACTACCTGTTAGACTGTTAGTTGGTCAAAATAGGAAACATATGTGGAACAGAATATGGAAATAAATCCCCACTGCACTGTCCTCAAAGATACACCTGTCACCAAAGACACTCTATCCCCAAAGACATCCTCACAGGCAAAGCAGTTGGTAGGAGAGAGATAGGGACTGCAGCCTAAAGCTGGAGCAAGCCTCAGGCCCGTGAAGACACCCTGTACGAGCTGAGCCTGGATTCAGCTTCTCTCGGCATGTTAGAGGAAGGAGACAGGTAGAGGACAGCTGCTGGCTCCAGACAGGACTTAAAATGGCAAACGAAGTAGATGGTGACCTACAAGGTTAAAATACTCTGTAAGGGAAATAATTACTAATTTCTGGGGTCAGAGTTGAGAATCCTGCTAGTTGAGGCCAGGACATCGGCTCCTGCCATCTCTTTTATACTAATTACTTTTGTATAAGACAAAAATATCTTCCAGAAACATATGGCAAGAAAGGCTTATTTTGGCTCCTGGTTTCAGGGATCTTAGTCCACTGTATTGGGGAAAGCAGGTCATAGCAGCTCTAACCCCGGGAGTAACAGCATAGGGCAGAGACTGTTCACACTGCGGTAAGCCAGGGAGCAAATAACAGGACAGAACCAAGAACCAAGAATCACCTTCAAAGGCCTGCTTCTAGAGACCTACTTAGGGCAGCTAGGCTCCACCCCCTAAAAGTTCCACAGCCTCCAAAATTAGCCCCATCCACTGAGAAGTGTTCAAAACATGGATCTGCTGTAAGAGACATGTTAGTTGTAAACAAGGTACCTTCTAAAGAACCAGCCAGGAGCTGTAGAAACAGGTCAGTGGGTAAGTTGCAAACCGCTCTTGCAGAGGGTCTGAGTTCAGTTCCCACCTCCTGTGTTGAGAGGTGCACAAGTGCCTGTATCTCCAGCCCCAAGGGATCTGATGCCCTCTTCTGGCCTCTGTGGGCACTGCCTCTCATGTGCTTGTGCACACACAGACACACACAGACACACACACACACACACACACATACACACACATCCTTTTTTTAAAGTTTAAATCTTTTAAAAAGACAATACGGTCAATCTATCAATACTGGAAAACCATTTTTTTTTTTTTTTTTTACTATTCTACAAATGGGTTTAGTGGCCCTGTAGCAGGGATAGGGGCTAGGTGTGGAGGGCTGTGCTCACATAATAAACAATAGTAATGGGAGGGTCTGGGCAAAGCTTACTCATGCGCTTCCCTGGGAAGTCAAATCCTGGAGCTTGGTGGAGTCAGTCTGGAAGAAGACAGGCTCTGAATGGATAAAAGGAACACTTGCGGGAGGTGGGCTTAATCAGACAAGCTTATGTGATGATTGACGGCTCAGGTACAGGTTGTCTGAAGGCTGTGGAAACTGAGTCTGTGGGGAATACAAAGGAGAACGGTTTTGGGCTTTGAAGGAGGGTCTGAAGCAGTTTCTAGGCCACCATCATGCTTCATTATCTGCATAGAGACTGCCCACATGTTGTCCAATGTGCTTTCTCTCCATGTCAGCTAACAAAGAGGCCTTCTCAACGGATCTGATGAAGGTGCCCATGCGTATTATAGATTGGAAGGAATGCTCACAGATGTTTCCAAGCCTCACCACACACATGCTGTGTGCCTCATATGACAATGAGAGCTACGATGCCTGCCAGGTAATGAGAGACAGCAGGCCCTCCCTCAACCTGGAGCCCCTGTGTGTTTCCCTTGCAAGAACATCTCCTCTACCCCCTGGGAATAGACTAAGATTCTAAAGTGCAGGTTCCAGGGAGGGGTCAGTAAAGCACTTGGCCATGCAAGCAGGAGGACCTAGGTTTGATCTCCCAAATGCATGTTAAAAAAAAAAGCCAGACTTGGTGGTGTACACTTGTACAGGAGAGAGAAGGCAGAGAAGAGACTCCTTGGGGCTCTCAGACCAGCCAACCTACTGGGCAGGTTCAGGCTAGTGACAGTCTCCAAACAAAACAAAAGCAAGCGAGCAAACTGAAACCAAAGCAAAAGGAGCAATAGTAGACAGTAGGCACGATGACTGAGAATTTAGAACTGAAGTTCCCTGGACTCTGTGTGCATTAGCACCCATGTGTACACTTGGGAGCATTCATATGGACACACAAACACACACACCACACACACACACACCCACGAGAAAGAGAGACAGAGAGTCTGAAGGACATGCCAGCCTTGAGCCATGGGATTCTGAGTCTTGTGTAAAGGCCATACACACAGAAGCCCTGGCACTGTCAGCCCACCTGAGTCACCCTGCAACATGCCTACAGAAGATCTCAGGTCTTCAGAGACACTAAATCATCAGGATTCCACCACTTCTTCCACTTGTCTGTGCCTCTCTGGCACTGGGATTACAAATTCAGGCCACCAGGCCTAGGCTTTTTTTGGGGGGGAGGGTTGGTTTTTCGAGACAGGGTTTCTCTGTGTAGCCCTGGCTGTCCTGGAACTCACTCTGTAGACCAGGCTAGCCTCGAACTCTCAAACTCAGAAATCCACCTGCCTCTGCCTCCCAAGTGCTGGAATTAAAGGTGTGCGCCACCACCACCCGGCTAAGGCCTAGGCTTTTTAATGTAGATTCTGGGAGTTGAAGTCGGTTCCTGACTGAGCCCTCTCTCCAGCACTCCTGTACTTTTCTTTTCTGCCTTTTCCAGAGCCTGGTTTAAAGACAAACAAACCAAAACCAAACCCCTGCCTCACTTTTCCTTCTGTCTTTTTATGGAGTTTGGATTTATCAAGGCCTCTCTCTTTAATCCTGCACACTGCTGGCCTTGTGGATATCTCCCCATGAATGAGCTGTGCCCAGCCTCTATGGGCAATTTAAAATGGACTTAATATTGAGCTGTGTTCTCTGCTCACAGGGCGACAGTGGGGGACCGCTTGTCTGCAACACAGAGCCTGACAGTAGGTGGTACCAGGTGGGCATCGTCAGCTGGGGCAAGAGCTGTGGAAAAAGAGGCTTCCCAGGGATATATACTGTATTGGCAAACTATACCCTGTGGATTGAGAAAATAACCCAGATAGAGGGGAAGCCCCTGGATCTTATGAGTCAGAGGGTCTCTGTCAAGAAGAAAACCTTAAGGAACAAACACTCCTCCAAATCCCCAGCCTTGAAATGCCCCCCAAACTGGCTCCTGCCCTGCCTTCTGTCCTTTGCACTGCTTAGAGCCTTGTCCAACTGGGAATAAAACAATGCCGTTTCTGATCCATGGTAGGTGAATTAGAGTGTGCTTTGGGGCTCGTTACAAATCTGAGCAGACACTGAGGACCTTTTTTATGTAAGAAGGTATAAAAAGGTTGAGGAAAAAAA